CAACCCTATAGAAGCACATGTGGTTGGGGCCCATTTATCTGTAATATACGTGGATAGTAGCAAGGATTTTTGTAGATGAAAGAGTCCCTGTTGTTGTCTTGATGGAGAAATGGGTGCAAATAGCAGAGGCCTGCTTTATATGGTTTCTTCACCACAGCATGTGGACTGCAAACCACTTTAATATTTGAAACAAGATGAGGCCCAGTAGGTCTTCCGCCTGTTGCAATATATGTAGTATGCCTTGTTTCTATATAAAACACCATAATGTCCCCATCCTGTAATAAGACAAACAATATAAGAATAGTCACTCTCAGGGCTCTCACTCTATTGTATATATAATATATGTGTCGCAAGGAGCCTTCCTCGTTAATCCAGCAACTGTCCACTCACCACCTGTGCAATGGGTAGTATAAAAAGGAGATATCCTTCAAAAGTACTGCCGTGTTGATCCAGGGAACTACCGCTTACATCAGCCGACATTTCGCGCGTTCCGACCTCTCCATGGCGCCTGTACAGCTTTTGCATGACTCATGGCATGTGAAAATGGCTGCCTCCTTGTAGGTCGGCGTGCATATCGCCAATGCGCATGACCGGAAGTGACGTATCTGACGTATGACGTCAACGCGTTTCGCCGATGGGCGTATCTCACTCAGCTTCGTCAGGACCAATCCTGGTGTGATTTTAATGGTTTTAGGTCTGTGTGCATTGTCTCATACTGGGGTGATGGTAAACCAGGGCGATTGCCCGTGTGTCAATCATTAATGTGTAATAAAGCATAATTTTTGGAAATTTTTATGAGTATCGCATTCTGTTCATAATGTAGCCGCTTTTCTGTGAATCTCTTTTCACATTTACCTTGATGCTTACAGCATGATAAGTACCAGTAATCCTATGTTAACCTTGCTCTGATGCTTTGAGCTTTCCTATTTTTGAAGAACCTCTTCACCAATATACATAAAGGGACTGATCCTTTCATTCTCTATGGATATGCCACTCAGTTGATACTTGAGCCAGACTTTATGTATAATTGTATGAGGGAGGTCACTACTCTTTATATAAATCCTCCCCTGAATTGTACCTTAGATCTGCTAGGCACCAGAGGGAGGTGAAGATATTACTTTAACATATTGTTCCACACAATCTGTTTCCTCCTCTGGACTACATCCAGTCTGGCGTTCTGTTTGGGACTTTTTAATGGTTACCCCCAACAAGATTTACTTGGCCAATAATTCAGTGTAAGAGGGAGGTCAGTTCTAACTATAGCGTTCACAGGATATTTTCTTTTGGACTACATACCATTATCTCTACATGGGGCTTAAACCATCATTCAACTCCTTATATCTCTTCCTGAGTGGCACAAGTTTATAACACAAGGATTATCCTTTTGAGGAGGACTCAAAGCTATCAATACTTGAAGTTCAAATGCTAAGCACTTATGGTCTTTATGGGAAAAAAAATCTGATGCCTTTATACATGTTTACACAGTTGGCAATCATTGGTAACCCTTGGAGGGAGCACAATATGAGATCTGTGGAATGTGGTGTATTGTTGTTTTTTTATATGTTTTTGTTTGAATAAAAGAGTCGTCCATGTGCTTTTGACCTTATGATTTAATATATACACTTATAACACAAAAAAACACTAATCCTGCTTGAGGTCATAACTAGTCATTTTTATTTTTGTTTATTTTTTTAAAATGTGCCTATAGTTGCCAGTCATTGGGTTGCTACAAGGATCACTGAGTTTACAATCTTTTATTCTAAACATTTTCAGCAGGTAATAGGCAGTGGGTCTTTTTCAATATCTCTAGAACAAAGGCAAGAATCTGTAATATAATTTTCAAAACCCCATTCCAATGCTTGTTTGTGGCCCTTGAAATCACTTTTAAAGCCAAGAGGAGGAGAGACTTCCCCATCATATGACCCCTGTGATTGGTCTTACAGTGATCACATGATCAAGAGTACATCATGCTTACTTCTGTTTAGTAGCCATGATTGAGAGCTGTCGGAGTCAGTGAGCCCTGCCACCGTGGCCATGCATTATGCGGTTGGGGAGAACCACTTGCCACCCAGGCCAAATCTGACATTTCTCACATAAATATTAAAATCAAAAATTTTTTTTTTGAAAATAATTTTCATCCCCAAACATTATAAATTTGATGAATGCAAAGGCCCTGGAGAATAGAATGGTGGCTGTTGCAGTTTTTTAAGTTACATAATATTTGTGCAGTGGTTTATCAAACTAAAATTTTCAGGAAAAAAATTTACATCCACCCAGAATGAGAGAGGCCCTGCCTAGCTATTAAATTATAATAGGCCAGGCGGGAAGCACTTAAGCAAGGATGTTATGTGATGTATCCATATGCAATTTATTTTATTTGAATCTTTTTGCCCAAAGGGTGGAGTTACATTTTACACATAACATAAAATAGTAATAGCAAAGACACAAATCGGTGAAGGTAAATGAAGCTACAATATTTTAGTATTTGAAAAGTATGTGATGTAAAAATGTACTATAAAATCACTTATAACATAAGCATAAAATTGCATCAAATTATATCTGTTATTTGTGATTATCATGTTAGAAAAAAGACTTTTGTAACAAATGGAAGTGTAAAAAGAAGGAAAGTGTTAAGTCATTAGACATAGCTATGTTCATAATTTAGAAATTATTATCAATACCGATGGTAAGATTTTCATGATGATGATAACTAGAGCTGAACAATCCACTCCCACAGTCCTAGTTTGGCAGTTTTAAATAAACTGTTTTTTATTTATTAATTAATTTGTGTATTTTTTTTAATTTGTATGTTATTATTTTATAAAAAAAATAATAACATGCCCCCACTTTTCACTATTACTAACTGAACACACCAGCAAAATAAACTGGCACCTTCATAGCAAATTAGATGCAAGTGTTTGGTCCTATGCTATGTTATTGCCAGCTTAAAAGTACTAGTACAGCTTTGTACTTTATTGTGTTGGCCAAACCATTTCGTGATTATTCTGTTAAAGTCCAAGCGGCTAATTCTGTGTGTCTCTAACTTTCTGTTTGGGTTGAGAGCATAACCCCAAAGGGTCTGGTATGGATTCATAGGAAGTCCCAGCCATTTTTTTTGTTTTATTTGTGTGTCCCCATCTGAATTGTACCAAATCCTTATACTGGTGAAAGTCTGGTATAAATTGTAAGGGGACTACCACTCTGTTTTTTTTTTTCCTCCTTTCATAACCACCCAGGCCACATACCTGGAAAAGGGTCTGGTATACGTTTTAAAAGGGAAGTCCACATAATAAAAACAACAGCAAAAAAAAAAGAAGCAGAGCCCTCTCCAAAAGCCTTACCAGAACCTTATCCTGTTACATATGTGAATAAAGCCTGTGGGTTGCCAAGGAATTCATACATTTAGTGGCAGCAGCCAGATGTCAGTTGGGTGAATGAGCCAAAAATGGCCATTTAGTTTACCCATTTGGGGAACCTTAAACAGCTAGAGTTCAGGTCAAACTATCTAACGCAAACTTGAAGTTTATGCTGAGACATTAGAACTTTACCTCATCTCAAGACCTCATGTGCATATATTGATTTCTTTATCTATCTGCCAGTAAGGATTGAGCAGTTCAGAGATATAGATATAGGGGCATACCTACATCCATAGGAAATTACCTTGACTCTCCTGAAAGTCTGATGATGATTTCACAAAGAGTAATAAAAGTTTTTTCAAAGAAAATATAATTCTGGGATATGCTTTGGGGTGGGAGAGAGAGGGGTTTTGATGGTAAACTTAGAAAAATTCCTGGACATGCAAGAAATCTTGTGAAACAGTTTTAAAAAATTTAAAATCTACAAGTTGGTCTGATATTGACACCATCAATACATTCCTTGGTACAACAGGGCACACACATGGGATACATCAAGAATTTCAGCAAACACTTACATATTAAGGGTTGTGTTTATAAAAGATTTGCTGTGTGAATTACATAGTAAATCTTTGATCGACATGTGTCCATCTACATTTCACAGCATTTGGCTATCACCCTATTCACCTATCATTTTTAAAGATAATTCTCCCATCTCTCCATCAGCATAAAACTATTCTAATTACAAACATGATTCTCTCACATATAAATTTAAACATAGTTCACCCATCAACATACAACATAATAAATTACAATAACAATATGATTTGCCTGTTACACTTAAAATTAAGCCAGATTTGTCCATCAGTTTCCTCATTACACATATTTAAAAAATAGCAAACTCTGTACTCCTGCGTTGGGGATGGACTGAGCAAAGGCTATGGTAACAATTCAGATGTCCTGGAATATGCACTCCTTGCTGACCTCAACGGACCAGGGTAGTCCAAAGTCAGTAGATACAAAGAAAACAAACAGAGGGTGCTCCAACCTAGTGCATTATCGTAAAAAATATTTATTAAGAGGATAAAAAGTAAGTATGATACTCACAATTGACATAGAGGACAAATACACATCACACCAAACAGCGGTGTCGAATTCACACTGCATATAAGTTCAAAAATGGAACCCTGGACTTCCAACTGGCTAACGAGTTTTGAGGACTCAGCCTCTTCCTCAGAGCCAACATATTTAAAAATGATAGCTGAGGGCTGTTAAATTCAAATGGATTAATGTCCAGCAAACATTCCTTTTTAAATAGACTCTAAATTGTTTCTTTTTCTGTTTTTTATGTATTTACGTAATCCATTGTGCCAATTTTTTCATTTTTAACTTATAATAGCAATTGGAAAAAAAATGGTATTTGGTTTGGTAGCTAATGGAAACTAATCTTAATCGCTTTTAGAAGTATTGAAAAACATGTGCTCTTTGAGACTGTGAACTGATTCAAATATGAATTTGAAAATACTGCATATATTTTGCACATGTGTACAAAAGTGGAAAGTTAATTGTAACTGCTGTATATATATTGAGTTGATAACCCTTATTGATATATTTTTAGTATTGGTGAATACATTTTTTTTCTATTCCTCAGGGTATCTGTACCATGACTACTGCCTTCCTCCATTTCTTCTTTCTGGCATCATTTTGCTGGGCTGGGTTTTGACAGAAGCCTGGCAGTCATATATGGCAGTGACTGGGAAAATTAGAACAAGGGTTATAAGAAAACGTTTTTTGTGCCTTGGCTGGGGTGAGTTTTTATATAAAATTGTCAAGTATCTGTTGTGCCATCATTTTCAATGTGTGATATAGAATATCAGGTATATTTGTTACATTGCTTTAAAAATTATACTGACCAGCCATAATCTATACTGTGGTGGGTTTTTTAAACTATAATTTATTTATTTGATGATTTTGTTTTCATTCCTTTATAGAGCGCCATCATAATCTAGTATAGGTATTGAATCATTTATATCACTACATTTGCAAATTGAGTTTAGAATTTGAGTTTGAGTTTCTAGTTCAGTCGTTTAAAGACAGCAAACCTACAAATGTGTTGCTTTTTTTTTAACCTGGAGCACATGGAATTAATCCATGTTAACACAGGGAAAACATGCAAAGTACACGTAGATAGTATTCTTAGTTTTAATTGCTCTCAGGTGTCCAGCCCGGGCCAACAAATGAAAGTGCTGCCCTACAGTGTATGGAATTTCTTATATAGTAAAATGGTCACTGAAAGTGTTGTCCATATCAACCAATAAGAGCATAGCAATCATTTGTTTCTAATGCATAGGAGAAAATATATCTTAAAGAGCATGTGCACTGTGGAAGCCCAACAAATGTCTGGCAGAGAAAAAAGGATTAGTCACCTGAATTGCCTTTGGTTTCCCTGAAGCTTATCTTTTCTCCTTTATTGACTTACTATGCTTTTGTCTCTATGTGAAAGCAGCATTCTTGGTATAGCCAGGATTTTGCTTCCTCATGTCAAAGCTACATAGTTACATAGTTAGCCTGGCTGAAAAAAGACAAACGTCCATCTAGTTCAACCTTAAAAAAAAAGTCATAATCCTATACCCACAGTTCATCCAGAGGAAGGCAAAAATCCAGCAAAGCATGATCCAATTTGCTCCTGCAGGGCAAAAATTCCTTCCTTATCCCCCGAGAGGCAATCAGATATTCACTGGATCAACCTTACCTATAAATGTTAGTATCCAGTTATATTATGTGCATCTTGGAAAGAATCCAGGCCTTTTTTTAAGCTATCTACTGAGCTGGCCAGAACCAACTCTTGAGGCAGTCTATTCCACATTTTCACAGCTCTTACTGTGAAGAAACCTTTCCGTATTTGGAGACAGGGGTGGACTGACCATTTGGAAACTCGGGCACTGCCCGAGGGCCTGGGGTCAGTAGGGGGCCCCATAAGATGTCCCTGGTACCTTTTTCATAGGCATTTTTTGAGTTTGGGCAAGGACACAGGGGCCCGATGATCCCCTATTACCCGGGGGCCCCATGAGTTGTCAGTCCACCTCTGTTTGGAGATTAAATCTCTTTTCCTCCAGATATAAAGATGTCCCCTTGTGCTTTGTGATGAGCTCAGGGTGAATAACTCCACACTATATAACGAGATGTTCACTATATGAACCTCTGATGTATTTATAAATGTTGATCATTTCCCCCCTTAATCCCTTCTTCTCAAGAGAGAATAAATTCAACATAAGGGTCCCAACACTAAACCTTGGGGTACACCACTAACAACCCTAGACCATTCAGAGTATGAATTTTAACCAGTTTTCTATCCATTTACGTACTGATTTTTCCAAGCCTGTAGACCTAACCTTACACATTAGCCATGTGTGGGGAACTGTGTCAAATGCTTTTGCAAAATCCAAGTATATCACGTTCACAGCCATCCCTCTGTCCACGGTCATCTCCTGATAAAAAGAGATCAGATTTGTTTGACAGCTTCTGTCTTTCATGAATCCATGCTGTCTGTTGCTTCAAATATTTTTTCCAGCAAAAACTCATCCCTGTGGTCTTTTATTAAACTTTCCAGTATCTTCCCAACTATAAATGTTAAACTAACAGGTCTATAATTAATTGATAAAGATCTTGATCCCTTTTTAAATATAGGCACCACATTTGCCAATTCAGTGGTACTATGCCAGTCATTAAAGACTCCCTAAAAATTAGAAACAATGGCTTTGAAATGAAATTCTTTAAGGACCTGTGGGTGCTATCTGGTCCAGGTGCTTTATTCCCCTTTATTATGTCTGTAGCCCTGGTTCACATTGATGCAGTGTGGAATTTGCTGCATTTTCTGTGTGAATTCCGCACCGCATCAGAATCGCACCCCGTTCATGCGAACCGCTGCGGGTGTGTATGTTAAGTTAACAACACCCCGAAAGCGGTTCGCAAAACGCGGTGTAATGTGCAGGTGTGAATACCCATGTGATCCGAATCTAGTGCAGACCAAAAAAAGGGTCCTGCACATTTTTGGTGCAGGTGCAGTGCAATTAGAGCCATGCAAAATGTATAGCTCCAATCGCACCGCACACAAATTGCATGTGATTTGCACAGAAATGCGGTGCGGTTTCTGTGCGAATCACATACAATATACTGCACTGCATATATGTAAACCCAGGCTAAATATTTCTGGATCATGTCAATTGTGGATCATCTGGGGCTGTGTCAATACCATGCCCATTATGGACAAGAGCTCCCCCATGCTCCTTTGTATTCACAGAGCTGAAGAAGGTATTTAATAAATTTGCCTTCTCTTTGTCCCCAGTCACCCACTCCAGATTATTTTGTAAAGAGCCTACATTCTCAGACGGAACCTTTTTACTATTAATATATTTGAATTATGTTTTGGGTTTTGTCCTGCTATCTTTTGCAATCTGTCTTTCATTTTCAATTGTTGCTGCCTTGATTTCCTGTTTACATATTCTGTTATATACTGTTATTTTTTAACGATGATAGGATTCCTTCATTTTTATATTTTATAAAAGCTCTTTTTTTTTTTATAGCTTTTTAACTTTTGCCGTAAGCCACATACTGTAGGTTTCATTTATAGCCTTTTAAACTTGTTGCCCATGTGGATTTTTTTTTGTTAATCAATGCCAATATTCCCTCCCAGTTTAAGTCTTGGAGAGCAGCTCTCAACCTTGGAAAATTAGCTCTCTTAAAGTTGAGTGTTTTTATTTTTCCCGTATGTGCTTGTTGTTTACAGGTAATGATAAATGAAATCATATTATGGTCACTGCTACCCAGATGTTCTTTTATATGGACATTAGTAATAAGCTCTGTATGGTTTGAGATTACCAGGTCCAGCTGAGCATCATTCCTAGTTGGGGCCTCTATGAACTGTACCATAAAATTGTCCTGTACAAGGTTTATAAATGTTTGCCTGTTTCTGCAGTGCCATTACTCCAATCAATTTCTGGGTAGTTAAAATCCCCCATTATTATCACTGTCCCAGGCCTTGCAGCCCTTTCAATCTGTGCAAGGAGCTGAGTCTCCACCTGCTCATTAACACTGGGTGGCCTGTAGCTTCAGCCTCATCAGATTCTCCATCAACTAGGTCCTCTTTCACACTTGCTTTGCGATCACCTTTCACATAGAGAAAGACACCACCACCTTTCCTTTTTACCCTGTCTCTCTGAAAGAGAACATAGCCAGGAATATTAATAGCCAAGTCATGTGAAGTATGAAGCCAAGATTAATTCTCGTCATGTACCAAACTCACTCATTTTGCTTGGCAGACTTCTGGCATTGGTGAAAAAACACTTTAATACATTGACACCTTTTGCACACGTATATTGCATGTTTTTTATTTTTCTACAAATGGTACCAATTCCAATGGCTGTTTGCAACAAGGGAACATTCTTATTACCTGCCATAGCCCTCTCCCCATCTTTCCCCATTCCACCCACCAACGAGGACTGACCCCTTTCTGATCTGTCTGCCCCATTACAATCTAATTCTCCCTCCCCCCTCGATCCTAGTTTAAATACCCCTCCAGCCACCCTCTAATGACTGGTGATCTGAATCTGCTGCAACAAATCCATAGAATAAATGAAGCAGCAAGAGCTTTGCATTGCAGCTTACTCTCCAGCAAGGAGACAAATGAGCAGCCCAGTAGTGGCATCATCAGATTTTTTACTCCAGTTCCCATGAGAATAGCAGTCAGGAATACAGTGCCCTAGATTCCACACTGCACTGAAAGAACCAGACTGAAAAGTAACAAGACATTTATCAAGTATTGCTTAGGCACAATTAACATTTTAGATCTTATAACATAGCAAATCTTCAGTTTTTGAGTTCAAATCCAGTTTAAAATATTGAATGATATATGTAACACAGATTTGGCTATGCCTTTTCCATTTCCCCTTCTCACTTTTTTAATAAAGTCATAATATGTTGAATATGCACACCTTCTGGTTTGTGTAAGTAACTGTGTTTCATGTAAAAAATGTTTGTTTGCTGTTTGCTTTCAGTATTCAATATTATAATCTCAAGGTTTTGAACTGTGCTTTTCAGCCGTGAGACTTCCTGGATTCTCTATTATCCACCTTTGTGTTTTCTAACAAAATGAAAGACTGCAGGATCACACACATAATAGAAAACTGCAATATCATTCTGACCTGCTGATTATATTGATGATTACATCACACCAAGCTCAAAATAAATGTACTCAATTTGCTGGATAAAATACTACTGAAGGTCAATAAACCTCCATTTTGAAGCTCACATGAGTTGACTACATGTCTTCTGCAGTTGAACAGATATACAGTAGTAGGTCATGTAAACCACCTGCCCAAATGCACACTTGCTTTTCTTGGTTCAGCAATTAAAAAGAAATATTTACATGCTATTAAGTAAAAAGACATGGGAAAATGACTGCGATCTAGTTTACATTGAGGCTTTGTATAAAAATAAAAAAATAATAGTTGTAACCTAGCAACCTCTATATAATTTATCCAGTGCAGAAATCTAACAGCATTTGAAAAATACACTGCACCATAAATTATTCATTTCTGGCAAATAGATGGCCACCTCTGCACTGCTCATATATCATTTAATACAATGCATCATATAGCTAGATCATTATTAAAAATGCATTTGTAACTAATTCATAAGCACGTTGGTCACCTTACAATTTGTTTCATAAATAATTCTATATTCAGACATATGTAAAAGGTCAATCACACATTTATGTGAGGGCCTCCAATCTCTCTATATTGTTATTAAGCAGGTATTTGTTATGACTTCAACATTTGGGAATGGTCACACCTATGCCCCTGATATTCCCATGTAAAACTATGGGAGCTGCTAACAATTCTTTGCAGTACATTTTCTAAAATGAATGTTAGCAGTAAACTCAGGTAATTAATATATTTTTGCAAAGTGTTTATTGTTTTAAAGCCCATCTAAATGTTTAATTGAAATCAGTTAAAGACATTGCAGGTGCATCAAACCAAAAGATGTGTAAATACCTACAGTTTGTTTTCTTTACAAAGCAGCCACAGTCTGAACATAAAAGCCTCTCTCTGTTTTCCACTCAGACTGTGGCTGCTTTCATAAGAAAGTTAACTGACACCATATAGTTTGATGCACCTGAAATATATTTAGCTAATTTAAACTGAAACTTCACTTGGGCTTTAACATAGATGATTAAAAGGTTAATTAGATGTGTACCTTTAAATAAATCCAATTTTTTAAATTATGTTTTATTAATATTAAATATAAAATACAACTTTTCTACAAATTTTTGTCCCACCCACCATGACCTAATGGTTTGACTGACAGGTCATAAGTCTTCTGTTCTATCATGCCCCCATCCACGCCAGCATGTAAAGAATAGGCAAGTTACAGTATGTTATGCAAGAGTCCAACTCACGTTACCTTCAATTCACAATTTCAATTCCCGCTACATGATGGGAATTGTAGTTTCTCATAGCAACAATACGCAATGAGTGGGCACGAATTAACTTTGGCTTACAGCCAAAGTTAAAAAGCTATAAATATTAAGAGAATAGCTTTTATAAAATATAAAAATGAAGGAATCCTATCATCGTTTAAACATCACAAAGAATATAACAGAATATGTAAACAGGAAATCAAGGCAGCAAAAATTGAAAATGAATAACAGATTGCAAAAGATAGCAGGACAAGTGCCAAAAAATAATTCAAATATTTTAATAGTAAAAAGGTCAGGTCTGAGCATGTAGGCCATTTACAAAATAATCTGGAGTGGGTGACTGGGGACAAAGAGAAGGAAAATTTATTAAATAACTTATTCAGCTCTGTGTATACAAAGGAGCATGGCGAAGCTCTTGCCCATAATGGGCATGGTATTGACACAGCCCCAGATGATCCACATTGGCTCACAATTGATATGATCCAGAAATATTTAGCCTGGGTTCACATATATGCGGTGCAGTATATCGCATGTGATTCGCGCAAGAACCGCAACGAATTCCTGTGCAAATCACATGCGTTTTTTTTTTTTGTGCGGTGCGATTGTATGGCTCTAATTGTACTGCAACCGCACCAAAAACGTGCAGGACCCTTTTTTTGGTCTGCACTAGAATCAGATCGCATGGGTACTCACACCTATATGATCTGATCCTGCACATCGCACCACGTTTTGCGAACTGCGTTCGGGGTGATGTTAATTTAACATACACACCCGCAGCCATTTGCATGAATGGGGTGCGATTCTGATGCTGTGTGGAATTCGCACAGAAAATGCTGTGAATTTTGCATCGTATTAGTGTGAACCAGGGCTGCAGACAGAATAAAGGTAAATAAAGCACCTGGACTGGATGGCATATACCCACGGGTCCTTAAAGAATTGAGCTCTGTCATTTCAAAGCCATTGTTTCTAACTCTTAGGGACTCTTTAATGACTGGCATAGTACCACTGGATTGGCAAATGTGGTGCCTATTTTTAAAAAGGGATCAAGATCAAGTGACCACATTGCAATCCCTGAGTACCGGGATCTGCATTCAACTGTGTCCAGCAGTTGCAGACAAAATCACATACATGTACACAATTTTTTCTGCAGGTGCCAGTCTTCTGAAGTATATGTACAGTGGCTGGTCGGCAAGTGATTAATGAATGTCACTGCTTATAAGCCCCTGTTTTTTTGTCTAATTGACATAGAGCTGGTGTAGGAAATGTGGAGAAATGTTTGCATCAGGAACAAGAATGCAGAAATAACAATGAAAAATCTAACTTTTCTGTCCAATACTAAAGAAAATGTTTCAACTGGAATCATATTTACTAAATATCTTGATTATAATATGATGGTGTATGATAAATATTTTCCAATGTCTAAAGAAACAATAAATTAAAAAACTGTGGAGAGAAGCTATTTTATGATGACATTGTATTTTTTTTTAGGCTTGCCAGCATTAGTTGTGGCCATATCAATGGGCTTTACCAAAGCAAAGGGATATGGAACTCCACACTAGTAAGTTTTGTGACTTAGTTATTAACTTTATTATTTATACAGTAGCTATATTGAACATATACTAATTCACTTCACTTTACCAACTGAAGCGAACTTATATAAATAGCTGTGGTAATTGGGGTATGAATCAATGTGACTTTGCAAATTGACCCTGTTATGAAAGGGGTGGGCTTCCACTAGAGGCCTAATCACTTTTGACTTCATTACAGCAGCCAGAACAGTTGCTGAAATTGAGCTCCCATGTACTACCAGGATACAAGCAGCACTCCTATACTGTACATTGGAGATTATTAATTAATCTAAAATCAGAGAAAAATATCTGATTAGAAACAATGAACTTAAGTTTGCCTGAACACCAGCTCATCCTTACTGATTAGCAAAGTATGCAGATGCTTTGTACTGAGTTTGGTACGCTATTCAGTTGCCTATATACTGTATATGTATTGTTGGAACAGTATGTTTATTTTCAGCACAGTTAGTGATGCAGGAATCCACATCAACAATCTCTTATTTATGTATTTTTCTAAAAATCTGGCCAATACTAAAAAATAATGCTACATGCATTTTTTATTTAAGTCAATTAATATTTACAATGTAAAGCCATAGCCATTATCCTAGCTAGATGGGTACTGTGACTTTTACAGTCTAAATGCACTTTTGCTCTACCTTGTGCCTTCCAACCTCCTCACCTCAGGTAGGCATAAGGGATCGTTCCTCAGATGCAGAAAATTACCCAACCCCTCCAGGGCCACAGTGCTCACTGGCTCTGCACTGTGTAATCTGCAGCCTGTTCACTTGTGTTTGTCAGCGCAACTGGAGCTGCCACAGAGCTTGCTTGAGTGATACTCATCTTCTTTGGAGGAGAGGAGGAGTACTTAGGAATGAGGGCATGTAAAAATTGTCAGGTTCTGGGCAGACTAAGCAATTTGCTGCATCTCAGGTATGATTTTTTAATTTCTTTTCCCTGTGATGAAAATTGTAGATAGAAGGGAGGAGCAAAAATGTATTTATAATTCAACATTTGCTCTTATATTTTGTAAGGTACCTGCATTGGTCATTTATTAGATGTCTCTGAGATATAGCTAACTATACTAATGAGTATTTCAGCTTTTATGGAAATCACAGGATTTTCTTTTTTAAACTTCATTTTCAGTTGCTGGCTGTCACTTGAAGGTGGACTGCTGTATGCCTTTGTTGGTCCTGCTGCTGCTGTTGTTTTGGTAAATACATACTTATTTTGCATGCATATGATGTCTTAGCTCTTAAAATCAATAAGTCAAACATATTTTTTACTAGAGTCTTTTAAATGTGTGTGGTAATGTGTGGCAAATGAAGCTCATGCATAGAAATACTGAAACTGATGGCCAGCCTTCCAGTTTGGTAAAGCAAATTATTAGGGGATTACTACGAACACAAAATAGTTATCTGTTTGAATGTATAGGAAAGGTGCTACATAAAAACTATTAAAAAGGTTTTGTTTAGATTGAGGTTAAAGTGTTAATTCAAAATCTAATTACTAAATTATAGCTCTGTGGACTAGTGAGAATATGGGAGTAGAAAAGAACCCCATACAATAAAAAAAAGAGAATGTCTTGTCCTGGAAATTCATGTTGCTTGCGTTATTTTTAAATAGGATGTATTTTTGTACCTATTTATGCTGACATAAACACTTTTAATGCAATACACCTATCTTTATGTCTAGTAACTAAGGTTGTTGGACATGGGCAATGAATTTCAATAGCTTTGCTTGCGTAGTGACATAACTAAATTAGGCAAAACACTGGAACCATCAATATGCAAAAGCAATATTTCACTTGATGAATGCCAATATCACTCAAAAGGTGTCTATTAACACAGCGTGTAGTGGAGTGTTCTTGCAGATGGCAACAGGGAACTGACTATTAACCAATGTCATTGCTGGGTAAAAAAAACAATATAATGAATTATGAACATTTCCTTTCTAGCAAATGTTAATAAGGAGGAATTGCTGGAGCATTATTGCACCAAACTGTCGAAAAGTATTGGCAAAACAAATACATGCAAATATAAATTTACATTTCTGTAAAATAATTACACTTTCGAAATGCATTGAAGCAAAATGTTGCATAGGAAATAAGCAACCCTAAAATAATTTTACATTCTCGCTTATTCAGAAGGACAGGAAGACTGACAACAAAAAGGCTGTTGGCCAGTATAGGATAACCCTGCCCACAACCAACATGCCTCATTTTCTGCTAGTGTCCTCAGGAGAATAGACATGTTTCTTTAGCTCTGATGTTTTCTGTTTGCTTGGAGGAATTTTTTCCTATCAACAGATGCGGGTAGGCTCATGCCACACACTGAAATCTTGGAGATCTCTCTGGTCAGTGAACGAGTGCAGATTTTCCAAGTTTATTTAGTATACTGGTAATCTCTGCAACACTCCTGCATTTCTGGAAGTTTCTCCAATCATCAGTTGGTGCTGCTAGATTAAGATATTGAAACTCCTGAAAGTCTCTCCAGTCATCTAAGGAGCACAACTTACAAGATCATTATCCGTACTGCTATGACATTCCTGTAGCTGGCAGTGTCTGAGTTCCAGTTCACACAGGGAAATTCTGTGCTCTCACTGGATGAAGAATCTATTTGACTGATTTCAACCTGTGGCTATTATACTCAAATAAGCAAAGTTGATTTATAATTATTTCAGCAACAACTATTTTTCTATACTAAAGCATGTCACAAAGTGTTTTTTTATTCGGGGACTTCATTACATAATTTAAAAATACTTGCTTGTTACTATGCCTTGTCAAACCACACCTAGGTAATTTTTCTTTGAAGATATACCCCGATACTGCAATTGATCCCTTAACTATAGTGTGGAAGGACAAATGGCTTTTCATTTGATCTTTGATGTTTCGCTAAAAGCATTACAGTTTTTCTCTCCCATGGATCTCATGTCAGTACGTATGTGTGGGCACACTAGACAAAGTGCTGGACTGCAGAATTCTTGTCTAAGAAGAATTTTTTCTTCATAGTCTTTGAGGGACAATGTCTATTTAGATCTGTTTTAGATATTATTCATTTAGATGCTTTTGGTGGCCAAAGCACTATTTTCTTCATGTTAAGAAGCATATTTGTGTCTTCCAACTTTTGATTGTTAGGAAACTTTTTTTTTACTGTTCACTTCCGCAAGGTTCTCATCAAGACCCTACAAGCCTTGGTTCTCTGTCGACCATCAAGGCTTGGCAATCAATCTGAAAAATTCTCATACAGAAGAAAAATGAAAAGAAGAATGAGAAGAAGAATGAAAAGAAGAATGAGAAGAATGAAAAGAAGAAGAGAAGAATGAAAAGAAGAATGAAAAGAAGAATGAGAAGAATGAAAAGAAGAATGAAAAGAAGAAGAAGAAGAATGAAAAGAAGAATGAAAAGAAGAATTAAAAGATGAGAAGAAGAATGAAAAGAAGAAGAAAAGAAGAAGAATGAAAAGAAGAATGAAAAAAGAAGAAGAAGAATGAAAAGAAGAAGAGAAGAATGAAAGAAGAAGAAAAGAAGAAAGAAGAATGAAAAGAAGAAGAAGAAGAATGAAAAGAAGAAGAAGAAGAATGAAAAGAAGAATGAAAAGAAGAATGAGAAGAATGAAAAGAAGAAGAAGAAGAATGAAAAGAAGAAGAATGAAAAGAAGAATGAAAAGAAGAATGAAAAGAAGAAGAAGAAGAATGAAAGAAGAATGAAAAGAAGAAGAAGAAGAAGAATGAAAAGAAGAAGAATGAAAAGAAGAATGAAAAGAAGAATGAAGAAGAATGAAAAGAAGAATGAAAAGAAGAATGAAGAAGAAGAAGAAGAAGAAGAATGAAAAGAAGAAAGAGAAGAAGAATGAAAAGAAGAATGAAAAGAAGAATGAGAAGAATGAAAAGAAGAATGAAAAGAAGAAGAAGAAGAAAAAAGAAGAATGAAAAGAAGAATGAGAAGAATGAAAAGAAGAATGAAAAGAAGAAAGAAGAAGAATGAAAAGAAGAATGAAGAAGAAAGAAAGAAGAAGAAGAAAAGAAGAATGAAAAGAAGAATGAAGAAGAAGAATGAAAAGAAGAAGAATGAAAAGAAGAATGAAAAAAGAAGAAGAAGAATGAAAAGAAGAAGAAGAAGAATGAAGAAGAAGAAGAAGAAGAATGAAAAGAAGAATGAAAAGAAGAATGAAAAGAAGAATGAAAAGAAGAAGAGAAGAATGAAGAAGAATGAAAAGAAGAAGAAGAATGAAAAGAAGAATGAAAAGAAGAAGAAGAAGAATGAAAAGAAGAATGAAAAGAAGAAGAAGAAGAATGAAAAGAAGAAGAAGAAGAATGAAAAGAAGAATGAGAAGAAGAATGAAAAGAAGAATGAAAAGAAGAATGACAAGAATGAAAAGAAGAATGAAAAGAAGAAGAAGAAGAATGAAAAGAAGAAGAAGAATGAAAAGAAGAAGAAGAAGAATGAAAAGAAGAATGAAAAGAATGAAAAGAAAGAAAAGAATGAAGAAGAAGAAGAAGAAGAAGAAGAATGAAAAGAAGAAGAAGAATGAAAAGAAGAAGAATTCCAGTACAGCAAAAAGTGTATCTGCAGAGAGCTCCGCTATTTCTGACAGTTCTCTGACAGTTCCTTCACATTTACAGCGGTTGAAACATTGTATCTATTTGTTTCCGAATAAAAACATCTGTATCCTAAATGGAAACAAATAGATACAATGTTTCAACCGCTGTAAATGTGAAGAACTGTCAGAGAACTGTCAGAAATAGCGGAGCTCTCTGCAGGGACACCTTTTGCCGGCTGTAGAAGGGATGAAAATCGGCCGATCGGGAAAAATTCGATTTGCGCATCCGAAGTTTGCTAATATTCGGATTCGGTGCGAATCGAATTTTTCCTAATATTCGAAACGAATTCCACTTCGCCAAGTTCGATTCGCTCATCTCTAATTAAGACCTTTCTGCCAGGAGTCTTCCATGTATCTTCCCCTGTTCATTTACCTGTGACTCCATGGGAGACATTCCTTTCTCTACTGTTATCCTACAGGAAACTCCTTTTCCACAGGGATAAGGTGATGTTGAGGCCCAGGACATGCTTCTTACCAAAAGTAATTACTGCCTTTCACCTTAACCCGGATAGTGTTGTTCCATCCCTCTGTTCCACTCTTCCATTTCTCTGAGTACAAAAATTCTATTAGTTAAATATTTTGAAGTAGACCTGTAGTTACAACACAGCAATAACCATTCTGCCCCAGTGTTTTGATAAAAAAAAGAAGAAAACAATGAGAGCAATGTTTAAACTACCTTTGCTGACTTCTATGTCTGAAAATGCTGGTTGCCTTGCTGTCGTGTTGACCTTCTGGCTTTCATACTTTTAGTAATAAACTAAGTAGTCAGACAAGAACTTTTGACTGTTTTGTTTTGACTTTTCTGACTTGTTCAGGATCTTTGGTTAAGGCAATAAAGCCAGTGAGCCAGCGTAACAGCTCATATTTTCAGAAGATGGAAAGTCAGTGCAATGCCTATACTTCTCTTAGGGCAATTTTACATTGAGTGTTTAAGGCCTTCTTTATATTTTATAATTACAGTGCAGCAGGGCAATCATTCAAGCCTGCTTGAATATACACTTGCCATCCACTTTATTAGGTACACCTGTTCAATTGCTTGGTAATACAAACCGCTAATCAGCCAATCACATGGGCAGCAAATCAATGCATTTAGGCATCTAGATGTGGTGAAGATGACTTACGGAAGTTCAAACTGAGCATCAGAATAGGAAAGAAAGGAGATTTAAGTGATTTTGAATGTGGCATGGTTGTTGGTTCCAGATGGGCTGGTCTGAGTATTAAAACAACTACTGATCTACTAGGATTATTGGGAGCTATTTGTTTCTTTGCACAGAGTTTTAAGAGCTGTTATCCTTCCTCACATCTCACTAAAAAAATATTAATATTATTGGATATGAAGATCATTCCTTGGCAAATTTGTTTTACTTTTATAATCCATTCAGTTCTGCTGACCCTTTAAAAAAAGGTGTTGCTTTTTTGTTTTTGTTTTGTGTTTATTAAAGCTATGTCTTTTAATTCTTTTTTTTTCACATGCACAATGATTGAGCTTTGCAATGGCCAAGCAACACATCAACAACATTCACATGAAAACAAACAAAGTGAATTTTTCCCTACATGCATTAAATTATGAAACCTGCATTTCTTTGACACTGACAGTACTAATAACCAATTCTGAGCTAAGGAAACAGTAAATGGTACTTTTTTTCAGCAAATTATTGGTACCTGATCATATGTGTGATGCCCTCAACAGGATTATATTTCCAAAATCAGCCATGAATACTCATTAGAAAGACTCCCCATTTCTAACTTGCAGTCTATCCTCAGGGAAGCCTGCAGCCTTACTTCAGGAGACCTATCTCAGGGTAGTGCAGATGTGTGATGTTAACAGTATAATCCATATCAGATCCTGCAGGATTACGCATTCTCTCCTTTAACCACTTTTTATGACAATTCACTAATAAGCAATGAAAATTGGCCCAGTGGAGCATCTATGATTTTAAGTAAATGATTATATTTGCTAAGAAAACCTGTTTTCTTGTGGGTCTATGATCATTATACAGCAATGTCAGATGGTCCTAATCTGCATATTTGTAAATCCTTACATTTTGTAGCCACCTGGAATTCATTGTTGGCAGACTGCTCTGGAATACTAGATGTTATATCCCTTTATTGCTCTTGATGGTGCCTTACTATATAATAATTAATTTATTATAAATATTATCTTTTCTAGCATTCATATGTGATCTGGAATTATTTATATGATTTAGATAAACATATTTGGTAATTAAAATGTAATCCTATATGTTTAACATATTGACATGTAAGGATCCGTATGTTTAATACCTCTTTTTGTTGACAGGTCAACATGGTAATTGGAATTTTAGTCTTTAATAAACTTGTTTCCAGAGATGGTATCCTAGATAAAAAGCTCAAACACAGAGCAGGGTAAGCAGATTCAAAATGTCTGTAATCATATTCTTCAATTATAGTTATTCATTCTGCATATTCCCAATTATTTTAGTTTTATATTAGATGCATGCTTCATCAAGAAGTTGATATTTCATTCATGTCTCCAGATTTATTTTCATGAAAAAAGAAAAAAAAATATTAAAACAAAAGTGCAGAATCATCACACAAAAAAATTAAATGACAATGAAAGCTCAAACTACTTATAATTATATCTTTTTTGTACATGACTACAATTTTAGTGATGTATATTATTAAAGCAAACCTGGTAACCTTTTAACCTTTTAAAATTAAAAGCTCAACCTGAGAGCAGGCACCATTGTTATCCTCATATGTTACTAACAGCTTGATGTCCTGAATCTAGTAAACATGTGCACTCTGTAACTGTTTCCCTTTAGCTATTCCAATTTTCTATGAAAATGCCACTCTGACTAGAAAGGGAACTCTAATTGGCTCACTGGAGGGAATGAAACCAAGATCAGAGGGGCATATAGACAATGGTTTTATAGTTAATATAAGATTTTTTTCTTTCTGCTCCAAGTTGGCACTTTTTTTAGCTTAAAAGTTTACAAATGTTGACAGGTTTTCTTTAGATTGCATAGGCTATGCTATGTTAAAATTGTAATTAATTACTGTTGTTTCAAATTAATTTGAATTAATGATGTGCTGACCATTGTTGTATAATTTCTAATGTGCATATTTTACTGTTTATTAAAGGAGTTCAAAGAACCACATAGTAGGTTTTTACCAATGATCTAATGCATAGAACAATAGTGCACATGTATGCAAAAATGTGTATCTTGCTCTGCCTTAATTACTGGTAGCCAACATAAATTTTATAATATTATATAACCTCTGACACTAGAAGGACATTAAATGGTGCGATGTGTTTATTTGCATTTAATGCAAATGTACCCTTGTACTCCTTCCCCTGAGATTTGGATATCTGGGAGCCACCTTATTATATATATGGCTCCCATATTCTTTATAAGTTCCCCCCACAAATCCCCAAAATGTTAAAAAGCACGTAGCCTGGTCTAGTTCAGGGAGAGGAAGGGTGTGTACTCCCTGACCTTCCTGTAACTCCAGCTGCATGACTGGATAAGGATCTGGTTGAAGTTTCAAGGGGAACCCCACACTGTTTTTTTAAACGGGCACTATCCTTTAAAACGTGAACAAAATGTCATGTGGTTCCCCTTAAAATTTTAACTCCCCCCACCTTGCCTCATTTTGAAGGGACAAGGTCTTTTTCCTGACATCTGATCCCCCAAAAAACGGAAGTGATGGTTTGTAAAAGAATTTATGTACTATGACTTTTTTACACCTCACTAATGTACCCTGATTTAAATCTACATCAATCACGCTGTCCAGTGACATAAGTTCATCACGATGGTGCCCAGTGATGCAAATGCTCCTCAGTGGTGGCATTTCCCCGCCATAGTCCCATTGTTAACTGACTGTGTTGCAGTATTGTAAACACAGTGATGAGAATCCTGGGTGACATCATTGACTAAATACGGTCAATGATGTTACCCATTATAGCCCGGCTATTTGTTGACATTAAAGCAGCAGGGGATTAGAACAGATGAACAGGCTCATTTGGACTAAATAGTTAGCTGGGTCTGCAAACCTGTGTTGGCACTCCCATTACTAAATGACAAATCCTCAGTGCTGCAGTAATGTAAAGTCTGCTGTGGAACTTGGGTGATGTCATTGACTACATTTGGTCATAACCAAGATCCCCCTTGAAAGCCCCCCCCCCCCCATATTGAGAAGCATGTGGCCTGGTCTAGTTTTTTTGGGGGGGGTTCCTTTCATTGGTACATGTCCCCCATGGTAGTGCCCAGCTACCCATGTCCTTTTTTTAAAAAAAAAAAATAGCTTGACTATTAGCTTTCCAAGGAGCTTAGAAAGGACCAATCTAGTAACGCAAATGTTTTTACAGGGTTTCAAAATTATTAGCAAACTGGACAGGCCAGTTACTGTTACTGAGGATATTAAACACATCTAAATTAGATTAGACTTTTTTCAGAGAAAAATTATACATTCTGCATAAGAATATCATGATTATAAGTTTGGTAATACGTATACCTGTAATTTCAGTTTCTTAATCAGAACACCATGCAAATACGTGTTATTTAAATAATCATTAAATATTTTTTTAAATACTGATAATATAACTACCTGACTTCTAATTTTATAATATCTTCCCACAATCCCCCTTACAGCAGAAATCAGTTTGCCAGTCAGTTAGGCACAATGTTGTAGAACTGGTGTTTTTAGGTTGTGGTAGCTGTGGAGGCAAATGTTCTTGACAGTTTACAGGAGGAATGATGCACTGAATTGCTAAAGGTCCATTTTAAATCCTTGTGAAGTTCAATCACGTTTTATATAAATTGGTTGAACAATGGAAATAAAAACATAAAAATGCAGTGTTTTCATATGGTTCAATGATTGCCTAGTATAATTTTTGTATATATAATACGTGTCAGTCTGACACTGGAGTGTCATTTACAACATTTGTGTAAGGTATTTTACTGTGATTTCAATTATTCTAAATTGCAGTATGCAGATCAGAGTTTGTGCTTGAATGAAGGACTCCTAATACCTTCCCACTATAGAGCTGTCTATAAAACAAATTGTTAAGCTACCTTTCTCTTTTAATTAGGCTTTTTAGTAGTTGAGAAGCTATTAATCTTGATTTTTGACGTATTCATTGAATTTGCTGAATGATATCAGGTGTTCTTTTATGGGGTCATAATATAATTTTCGGCTTTAGAAAATCATTATCAAAATATTGTTCTGCTTTGCATTTTAGTTTTCTTGTAATTTTACAGTCAACATTTCATTTCAACTAATTACCCAATGAGAGAATTTCAGAAAAACTGCATTTAGTAATATGTTGCCCTTTTGTAATGTCCTTGTCTTATTCTTTAATATTTTATTAACAAACATTGTTGTAAATGAATACTAATTGAAGGGCAATGATATTACAAAGTTATGGGTTATGTGGCATTTTAGACCTAGGAGCTCAAGTTGTGCAGAGAACTGATACAAGATGAGTGTTACACACCAAAATAATTGAAGGGTAGTACCATGTTAAATAGAAAAGGTTAGAAGGGGAATACATAAATCTGGTGCAGCTGTGCATAAGCAACAAATCCGCTTCTAACTTCAGCTTGTTCAATTAAGCTTTGACAATAAAACCAAAAGTTGATTGGTTACTGTACAGAGCTGCACCAGATTCTATGTGCACCAGTTTTTATAATGCCCCCCATTAGTGTCTATCTGTTTTGGAAATATTAGAACATTTTCAATGCACAATTTCCCTACACTGGGGGAGAGGGGGTTTAAAAAAAAATTTTTTTTATTAAATGCATAACTGAACATAATTATAGCTTCAACTACTAACTGGAATTCATGTGGATTTCTAGGCAAACAAGTTAGTACAAAGTTGAAATATACATATGCTTACTGTTTCTCTACCACAAGATTCTTCACAGAAAGCTGTGATTCAGCACTTCTGGGGAAATCATCCTACTGCTTAACTATATTGCTTACTAGATTACCTCTCTGCTAATTTGACAAGAAATTTGTCTGGGGATGAACAGGTTGCATAGGAATATGTGTTCCAAAAACAGAAAATAAGTCTGTGTTTTGGCACCTACCCAGATGTACAGTGAAAGGAGGCTTTTTGAACCCCCAAATTAGCTTTTTTTATTTACAACCACTACTGGAAATCACCAAATGATTCTGATGCTTTCATTCCTGCACATGGCTGTGGCAGAGATTTGGCTAAACAGAATTACACATTGTTTGGAATGCAAATAAGCAAACATAAATGCATTTCAGCTGTGTATTTAAAGAGATATAAAAGTCAATAAAAAAAATTCACACACAGAGAATCTGCTTGGCCCCACCCCCTCTCAAGGCTCATTGGCTCACTGGCTGTGGTTAACAGCAGCGAGAGCCAATGGTTCCTGCTGCTGTCTCTGTCGATGATGAGGGAGGGTCCCGAGAGAGCCAAGGCTCTTGTGCATATTTCTGGAGCGCGATGAGGCTGAGGTAAGTTTTTATAGGGAGCGTGGCTGGTGGGGCTGCTGCACACAAAAGGTTTTTTACCTTCATGCATAGAATGCATGAAGGTATAAAACCTTGAACCTTTACAACCAGGATCACCAAATAGAATACTATGGCATTGCTCTTTCATTAGCTGAAATGCCATAGTATTTAACTCACTGTTGGTGAGGGAGCAGCAATGAAGAATTGGCTGTCTGATCCAACCAGCTTGGGAGCAATAACGTTGAAGTTGTCAGTGGTTTCCCTGCTCTCCTAGTCATCCTGATACTAGCAAGTGATCACCAACAGCAGAATCTCTAATGAACACAATACAGTTCACACTATATGCAAGTAACAGGGTAGTGTCTGAAAAGTTTCTGGGTCAGAAAATTAATGTCACTCTTTTTATTCTATGAATATTTATAGCACAACAGGTATGGGTGGATTACAAAAGAAGGTGATTTACTGTATTCTGACTGGACTGTTTTCTTTTAATTAAATGTATTTAAAAAGAAACATTACTGCAGATTGAAGTCTGTGCAACCAAAACAGCAGAAGCAACAAGAATGAGAATGATATATTGCTCAGACCAGAAGAGTTTAATGCTTTATCAGCACAGACTGACAGCACCTGTTTTATGTGTAATGTGCAGTGAAGGGAGCAGGAATAACAGGAATTCCTAAGCTGGTACAATGTCACCAAGCTATATTGCTTGTCATGCTTTATTGTAAAATAATACATGAACTGAAGAAAAAGAAGCTCAAAAAAATACTTGCTGAACCAGTGAAAGTAAAAAAAAATGCAAATTCATATGCATTAATGCCATTTTGTCAGTTTCTTAAGTACATTTTAGTTTACCTCTGTGTTCACAGTCATACCCTATCAAATGTTAACATTCCTTTTAACAAATTCAAAAAGAAATGATGATCACCCTATTTAGGGATTTGCAGAGCAAATATTTATTTAAGGGCTCATGCACATGGGCACATTCATCCTTCCAGCATAAACAAGCTAGTGTATTTTTGGTGCACAGAAGCAACTGGTGCTGTGTACATAAATAATACCGAACTTCTCTCAAATTAAATAAATCAAAATAAATAATAAACAACTATTAAGTGTCCAAAAACCCAAATGTCCTCAAAAATATTTCCAAAAAAATCATCTCTATATGGTACAATCCTTTCACCTCCAAACATATATTGTATTTCTTTACTTAATCCCATGTGATATTTCCAGATTCCTCGTGTACCTCGAAAAAATATAAACTCAAAATAGTGTATTACCTTTTATAAATTATCAAGGTGCCATAAATTGTGTATCATGCAAAACTGTATAACGTGCAACAAAACAGCGCGTGAGAGAAAAAAAAAACAATATAAAATTATTTTAAAATATATATAATATCTAATCAAAATTAATAATATAATAAAAATCCACACGTGAATACACTCCAAATGGTGAGCACTAAACTGCAACTAATATAGTGATCCACTCCAATTTAGTACAAAAAACACACTTAACTCTATGCAAAAGTGTAAAAAAGTGATGGGACTTTCAAAACCAACTTAACAGAAGGCTTTCTACATCAAAACCCCATCAAAGAAATCCGCTTCCACAAACATATACAGCTGCAGTGTATGCCTTAGTATGGGAACAACCACATGTCCCCACTTCCAAAATGGCCACTTCCGGTTCAGCGTGTGTGCGTCAGACGTCACGTTCCCGAAGTGTTTTGTCACTTCCTGGACTTTTTCTCAAGGGAAGCGGTTTTCTTTGATTTTAGATGAGCATGGAGGAGGAATATCAAGAATAACAAGGATGCTGGAGAGTGTATTTTACCCATCAATTTGAGAAGTGCTTGTTTTCACTGGCATAGGGTAATTATTCATTGTTACATGAGTTGGAGTGGAACACAGTATATATATATTTTTTATCACGTAAAAAAATGGGGTTTTGATGTAGAAAGCCTTCTGTTAAGTTGGTTTTGAAAGTCCCATCACTTTTTTACACTTTTGCATAGAGTTAAGTGTGTTTTTTACACTAAATTGGAGTTGATCACTATATTAGTTGCAGTTTAGTGCTCACCATTTGGAGTGTATTCACGTGTGGATTTTTATTATATTATTAATTTTGATTAGATATTATATATATTTTTTAAATAAGTTTTATTTTATTTTTGTTTTTTTCTCTCACGCGTTGTTTTGTTGCACGTTATGCAGTTTTGCATGATACACGATTTATGGCACGTTGATAATTTATAAAAAGTAATACACTATTTTGAGTTTAGATTTTTTCGAGGTACACGAGGAATCTGGAAATATCACGCGGGATTAAGTAAAGAAATACAATATATGTTTGGAGGTGAAAGGATTGTACCATATAGAGATGATTTTTTTTGGAAATATTTTTGAGGACATTTGTGTTTTTGGACACTTCGTTATTATTTATGTTAACTTTCAAGGGTGGAAGTTGTTGACTTTTCTTTGGGGTGTGATAGTTATTAATATAGGTAGTTTTTTGTGCTGAAAGATTGGTATATGGCGCTGTGTACAGACATCCAAAGACATGAATAGTTGTAGGTAGCTATATGCAGTTATGCACTGCTACTTGCACAGGGATGCCCAGACACTAAAATATGTCAGTTTAGGCTGTAGATAGGAATGTGTCCTAAAGGTTTTTTTATTATACACTAAAGCTATCTTGATGTTTCAATGTGTACACAGCTTCTGAAGTATAAATATTTATACTTTGAGCTCAATTAACTACTTGCCTGCCAGAGGATTTACCCCCTCCTGACGAGGCCATTTTTTGCGATAATGTGCTGCGTTACTGTAACTGACAATTGCACGGTCATGCAACACTGCACTCAAATGACATTTACGTCCTTTTTTTTTCCACAAATGGAGCTTTATTTTGGTGGTATTTGATCGCCTGTGCATTTTTTATTTTTTGCGCTATAAACAAAAAAAGACCGACAATTTTGAGAATTTAGCTATTAAACATGTCCAGTAAAAATTTTAAAAAAATCAGGTTTCATTATAAATATAGGCCAAAATGTATTCTGCTGCATGTCTTTGCTAAAAAAAAAAATCCCAATACATGTATATTAATTGGTTTACATGAAAGTTATAGTATTTACAAATGGCGGACTGCGGCGGGCATGCTGGACTGTAAATAATGGGGTTGATTTACTAAAGGCAAATAGGCTGTTCGCTTTGCATTGAATGTGGTGAAGTTTCACTTTGCAAAGAATATCCAATCACATGCAAGGAAAATAAAAACAGCATTTTGTCACATCATTCAATAAGCTCTGGGACAACTTCCCTTTGAAAAGTGAACAGCCTGTTTACCTTTAGTAAATTAACTTCAATGCATCTTGTTATACTTGGGTTCATTTATACCTTTATTCCACAATCATTTTTTTAGCCCTGTTCAAAGCTGGGCTACTCGTGATCTTGAAGTACATAAAAATGTGCAGAAAATCTTCACCTGCAAGACCAATTTCTGTTACGCAGGTCCTGCTTTTATTGATGCATGCTGTTATGTAGAATGCCAAACACACACATTGCTTCCATAATAGATGGAATTACAATTCTTCCATATGACAGTACTTCCATACTAGGGCAGATAAGCTACAGGGAACAGATTTCCATTCACAATTAATCACTGGGACCTATTGCCAAGCTAGCTATAGACGTAAGCTGACATTTGGACATTAAGGCACAATTCAACTGCAAGAATTTGTTAGGCAATCAGGACATGAATATAGAAAATGGAATAATCTGAGTGGGTATGTTCATGAAAAAGGCAGTTTGCCACCAACCCATGAATCAGTAAAAAAAATCCAATCCAGCCAAAAAGATAGAAACAAGAATGCTTGTTTAAAAATTGTTCTGAAATTGGTTAAAAAGCTGAAAATTGGCTGGATAAGCAGACACATGATGCCATATACACATTGGTAATAGATCTTTATTTGTCTTCCAAATGTATAATTAAATTCATAAATTGTAGTTTTTAAGCAGGTTGCAGACATTACATTCCTGTACCCTACTTTGTTTAATGTAAACATTCACTGATTTCTACTCAGTCATTCCATTTGTTTCTTTATCTTTTTTTCAAATGTGTTATTGCAGCTTAAAAAAAGCTGAACATTTAAGTAGCAGATGAATTATTAAGAGAGAATGCATGGTTTCATAAAAACAAAATTGTCATATGCAATATTAAAATTTGCAAAATAAACCACCTAGGGTACACTGTCATGTTTAAGAGATTTGGATAAATGTGCTGCATGTTTTATTGTGATTTTGTGTACAGTAAACATGGTGCTAATTAGTTACAACAGTTTTCTCAATGATATTCATTTTTTGTCTCTGAATTATAATAAGGGATGAACAATGAAAATACTTGTTGAAAGTACCAATTAAGTCAAACAGTTTGTATATTACATAGTTATGAAATGTGGTTACGGCAGGAAGCGGCACAGGTTATGTCTCCCGTGGAGTCTGTTCTTCCTGGAATGTTTCAATATAGAACAATCTCCAACAAAATTAAAAAAAAAAAAGTTATGAAAACATGATGGTATAACTGGAAGGTATACTTTTTAATGAAAAGATGAAAAATGTTGCTAATAAATTACGTGTTAAAAATTTTGATTAAAGTTTTTCTACACACCATGTATTTAGGCATTCATATCTCCCTGGTTTCCAATTTCTTTTTGTTATAATTTAAGGTTCGAGATTGTTTTATTTTTTGTTCCACACCTGTGTGTGCAGCTAAGTGATCTATAGAAATGTTCACATTGTCTAGTGGTCATTGGTGGTACCAACAGTTTGATATGTACACACATTCTTTACAATTGTATGTCACTGACAGGGACTAAGCCTGTTTAGTGATTGTATTTTATTCATGTTGATTTTAATTAGATGCAACAATCATTGTTTTATTAATTGATGCTTCTGCACTGTTTTATAAGAAAAATAAGCATATTCAGCAAGTGAATTCATCAAATTCCACTCATTCTTAACTCCATATTCAGGCTATTTATTAAACTAATTAAAATAATCAGTAGAATTTTTAATTTACCTTTATCAATTGTAACTGAATTACTATAATAACAATTACTATTATAACTATTAGTAATATTAACAGAAGCAACAATGACTTTTAAACTATTACTGTTAAATATAAAACAATTTTTTTTTATTGGCCTGAATATAGATTGTCATCATATGTCTGATTTAGCACCTGCTTATGTTTAGCTCAGTGTATAATCTGCTTATTAATTGCAAAATAGGAAATTATCAATTTTTTGTAGAGGAAAAAATGCCCTGCATGCATGAATGAAATTATCCTTCTTATCATATGAGTAGTAAATGTCACAAGTAATTTGATACATCTTTAGAACCAAAAGCTTCCATTAATAAAATCAATACATTCATCTTGTTACGTATGCATGAGATCTTATTGAAAAACAAATAGTAAAAAAAAAGAAAGTACCGCAGTAATGATTTCAGTGAAAATTGAATACTTTGTTCTTTTTGTGGGTGTTCTGTTTGTTTGCAGTCAGATGAGTGAGCCTCATAGCGGTTTGACGCTCAAATGTGCCAAGTGTGGAGTAGTTTCAACAACAGCTTTGTCAGCCACCACCGCCAGTAATGCCATGTTAGTCTAAATCATTTACATCTTCTTGTTACAAATCTATTACCGTGCATGTCTGAAAATAGTCTGATAAAATTTGTGTTCTTCTAATAATACTACAATGTTTTTTTGTTCTTTATTTATTTCTTTTTGTAATTTTTTAACTTGTGCAACCGTGTTAACGTGTTGCCTTTAGAGAAACATCTCTTTATATAAATGTGTTTTAGCATTAACCCCTTCAGTTCCAAGATGACCAGATCATAAAATATACACATAACTGACTGGTGATCTTACCACTGAAGGTGTTTGCTGTTTATTTAAACTTCTGTTATATGATTTGTATGCATGAAGCACAATCTGGTTCAGCAAACAAATATCTTTCTCTGCATAGGGCATCCCTTTGGAGTTCCTGTGTTGTGCTACCTCTCCTGGCTTTGACATGGATGTCTGCTGTTCTAGCAATGACAGATAAGAGATCGATACTGTTTCAGATACTGTTCGCAGTATTTGATTCATTGCAAGGATTTGTCATTGTGATGGTCCACTGCATTTTACGGAGAGAGGTGAGAGCAATATTTTTGTCTTCTATGTATTTGCTTGGTTATTTTGTGACATCTGATAAGCAATGACTTTTCTCAAATTTCAAGATGCAAAATCACCTTGACTTAAATGAATTAGCTCATGTTCATAATCTGAGATGCAATTCCTGCCATCCAATATCAATTTATCATTTACAGACACATAAACCTATGTTTATGTCAAAGGTTCAGTTAACCCCTTCCCGCCGATGCCTCCCGGCCCTTTAAGAGATTCAGACGCCGGGAGGCGGGGCGGTTGGGGCGTGGCTTAGGAATCATGTGACCGCCGTGATGACGCGTCACGGCGGTCACATGATCGGGAAAGATCCCGTTTGAAAGAGCGGACCGGGACCTTTCCGTGAGTACCACACATGTGTGCTGGGAGCGCGCAGGGCGCGCGCTCTCAACACATATGTATTTAGTTACATGGACGCAAATGTGCGGCCGCTGGGGCGTCTAGGCCCAGACGCCGGGAGGCCGCACATTTGTGTGCGGCCGGCGCAAAGGGGTTAAGAAAAAAAACATATTCATGCAAAAATGAAGGATTGGATGAATTATACTTTATATTATTTTACTTGGATCTTTTTTGAATCTTTTAAATTAATTAGTTTACCATAAAAAATTATACCCTGTACATAATGTTGCCACTGAAGCAACCTATTTTGACCAGAAGCATCAGCCAAATCAGCAAAGCTGTGTATGCTTTCACCTGGTTGGGTTAATCTTTGATTTATATATAGCCCAAACATTTTTTTTTTGGTTATAGAGAAGAATTAGAACTTTATTTCTGTGTCCCTGGTAAGTAGATTAGCCCTATTTTTGTCCGGGAGACCATTGTCACTCAGAACAGAAATAGACAGGAAGTGATGTTAAAAAAGTTGTTACTAGAACAAGAGATGAGGGTACATTTTTCAGTGGGAACACCTGTTCTTGTGACCACTGTCTAAGAGGGAAATTCTCCTTAGTTTGTAAAAATTTTATCTCAATTCCTCTTGCTGGACTGGACAGGAAATTAAGGGAAATCTCCCAAACAGACACAGAAAAAATAAAAATACAGGGATTATCCCTTCCCCGCTTTAGCTAAAACAATCAAAAGGTTGGATTACACATATACTTTTATGCCTTTAAATGTAGAAGAAGCATGAATCCATTTAACTAGAGCAACATAATTTATAATCATGGGTCATGACAACAGTAAAATCGTTGTTTTGTCCTGTACTCAGTTTGGATTATCCTAGTTTGTGACCAGTCTATTTTAAGCTTTTCAACATACAATCAGATGCACTTTATTACACTAAGATTTTTTTGTTATCCATGCATTATACAAATATAAAATAATAAAAAAATTATGCTTGGTTACAGAATTTATGGTTTGGGTTGTTATAAACATCTGTAGACAGTTGTTTTTTTAAATATAACTAAAGCTGAGAATATAATGGACAACTCCACACAAAACATAGAAAACGGTAATATAATAATATATATAATATAAATATATAATATAAGTAAAACGGTAACACTTCAAATTTTTTTAGCCGTGTCTGCTTTTTTTTTAAGGATTTATTGTTGTAGAGAAAAAAAGCATGTTTGTTTATTTATTTAATATTTTGTCCTGTAGCATAAAATTACAGGGTCCTGCTCCCTTGGGTTCTGGACCAGTATTCATAATACATTTTAATTCAGCACTGAATCGTCCTCAAGACACTTCCTTTGATTACAGGAAATTGGCTGTCATGAGTTATTTGTAAACATTCGCTGTAATGGCATTGCTGCAGTTTATATTCAGAAAATGATGAAATGAACGCAGCTTCCTTATAACAAGGTCAAAATTCTTCCTTTAGTACTGTAAATCATCCCTGTAGTAATTAGCTAAACTTTTATACATGTGGGCAATATTTGATTGTTGATGTTCACCTAACAATTTTGTAAATGCATCTAATGTTTTTAGAAGGCAAAACAGCAAAATTTGTATTTTACAGACCATATGTAAAAATACATTACCTCCAAGGAAAATGGTCAAAATGATCAAAATTAGATGTAACCTCATGTAAAAATCCTGTCTTCACCCCTCCTAAATATTCCTAACGGCCTTACATTACAAAGGGCATGTTTCTTGACCTTAGGGGTCAAGGGAGGGAGGAGTGGTAAAGGCTAGCTTCTTCAGGAAAATTCCAGATTTGCATGTAATTTTATTGTCATTCCTGACAAGAATAGGTTTGCTGAGCTAGTATGGAATTTCTTTTGTATCAAAGCAAATGCTTACCATTGTGATATTTTATTGCTATTCGTAAAGACACATGCTTCAATAAATTTCAGTTTTATTGTTTTGTTCATAATTTTAAAAACTATGCTGACTATATGTGAACATTGTATTTAATTGGTTTAGTTCTATTCATTATGTTACTTGTTATCCTCTCATGTACATTTAAAAGAAAGTACTTCAATTTTACATCTACAAATACATGGCACTATCAAAGCAAGGAAGTATTACAGTATGCTTTCATAAGCAAAGTTAGCAGCAAATTCTATTTTTGGCATATATATCTTGGATTGGAAGCCTGTAATTTGCTAAGTGAACTCCCAATATACCTGGTTTGGCAAACATAGTTTTAGCATTGAAACGCTCACAGATGGCTTGAGACTGCTGTTTGCCATGTCACACATAAAGATCTAGTAAGGTGGAAAATTCAATCCAGTAATTTATATAGAACAAGCAGCTGCCTTAATTAGACAATTATAGTATTTAAAGCTGCATTCCAGCATTATTCTGCGTTGCCATCTATATAGACCTATCACCTAAAAATATTTAATTTTACATGAAGTAATATTATCAACAGTGATACCAATATGATTAAGTATGTAGCTAAGAGTGTGATTTACTATACAGTATATACAGTATTTGACACTGACTTTGGGAGATTGAGCAAAAATATAATTCTAAAGTAATCCTAAAAGTATATGGGCTATAGTGCCATATAGGGATTAAGTTATCATGGTCATAGATATGAATGGGTAAGTACCACATATGTCTGCACAGCATGCAAAAAAATGATGTTGCAAGAATGTCTGCAATGAGCAAGTGATACAAAGTATTCAGCTGTAGAGCAAAAGTACACAGAACAAGTGGCAATAATAACGCTTAGTATATTAAATATACTGCATATTTTGTTTATAGCACAAAGAATAAAAAACGCAGAGGTGATCAAATACCACCAAAATAAATCTCCATTTGTGGAGAAAAAAGGACATAAATTTAATTTGGGTACAGCGCTGCATAACTGCGCAATTGTCAGTTAAAGTAATGCAGCGCTGTATAGCAAAAAATGGCCTGGTCAGGAAGGGGGGTAAATCCTCTGGAGGGCAAGTGGTTAGTAAGGTCCCTCCCCATGTTGAGGGCATGTGACATAGTATGGCTGCCAGGCTGCATGCTCAGATAAAACAGGTATATGGCATCTCCAAACATGTTATTTAAATTAATGTAGTATTTTTAATATTTAATTTTAAGTCTTAATAAAAGAGCTGCTTTACAGTGAATGGTAAAAAATGTTTTTGCATTGATGCATGTCCCCCAGGGCAGTGCCAAGCTCTCATGTCGTTTGATTTTTGGGGGTTGCCACACCATTTCACAAAACAAAAACAAGCTGGCAGGGGGATGTCATCTAGCTGCAATTTTTTAAAATAGAATGTCACTTTCGTCTGTGTATATCCTACAGTAGTGCCTTCATAGGTGGGTTTGTGGCAACCCCCAAGCATTTTAGTTAATATTTTTGAATGTTTTTTTAAATTTTTTTTTCTGTACATACAAAGAGTAAAGAAAAATATATGCAAGGTGTAAAAGTAAGGAAACATATAAACACAATGCTTCCTGATACATGTGTACAAGATACGAGCATTTTGCTTCTATCAGACAGGGGTAAGCAAACTAAACTAATGCATGGTAGACCATTAACCGTATCCCCTGCCTACTGCAACCAAGCTAGAGGGCCGGCCCTGTTGCAAACCTCCAACCCACCAGGAGACAAGTGGCAATGAATCCAAATAGGAGAATAAGAGAAAAGGGAGAGCTAGCAAAAACCAGAAAAAGGAATGGAAAGGTTTCAAGCAAGCATTTTATTTAAAGGAATTTTGTATTTTTAATGTTTCACTTTAATTCTTATTAAAAGAGCTGTTCCTTGCTGAAAGGTGTTTTGATGTTTTTTTTTTTGCATTGGTGCATGTCCCTGAGAGTTGTGCCCTGCTATCAATGTCTCTAGTGTAACAATCCCTTAGCTGTTAGGCATTGAAAATGGTGAGAATTGGCTTTTACAGATTTATCTCCCATTGACTTCAATGAGATTCATGTTAACATACACAATTTGCAGACTTTTGGGTGTGTTCGTCAAAGCACATTTTCCCATCACTAATTGGGAGGTTGAAGGCATAGGGCCAAGCTCCACTTTTACTGGAATCATTGAATTTGAATATAACTTTAGTTGTTTATTATATTTCTGAATCTGCTAATTGTTTTGACGTGAAGGTTTTGCCAGGTTTAATTTAATGTTTACCAGTTTGTGCAGCAGGACTCTTCTGAAAACACCCAGCCATTGCCTACCTAGAGAAATCAATGCCATCTATCCTGGGTTCACATCTTGCTACCCAGTAAGGTTGAAGAGAAATTGATTTATTTTTAACTTTTCTTAAAGGAGACCTTACACTAAAAGGCAAACTTTACTTATTACATAGTGCCCTTTCCCGCCATTTACTGAAGGCTATCAGCATCACTTCCAGAACTGACCCTGCATCTCTGTAGCCAGTGGGCATATGTAGGATGAGAGGAGCCAATAATAAGTTCCCCTGTCAGTGATCTCTCATGAATGAGGACACACAGGGGGGTTGGAAGAAGATCTGGTGCACACATACAAGATAGCCGTGCAGTGTTTTGAATCAAGACTGTCAGCGGGAGAAGGGAGTCTAGATGCAGAGATGATAACTGTCAAAGAAGGGCT